TTCTTGTGGGAACCAATGGGCCATCCACTTGCAGGACATTTTATTCCTGGTTCAAGACATGGGGTGTTTTAGGCGACTGTGAAAAGCTCCACAGGTTTGGTCAAGTTGTTAAAAGGTAGTAGAGTCGTACTTCTTAAGTGCAAATTACTGTTTATATTCAGATACTTAGTGGCTTACAGCAGCGACGCAACAATGGCCAGTTCTGCATTTCGTCCACATATCAAGTGAGTCAAAACTCGCTCTCCTATCATAATAATCTAAACTCTCGTGATTTGTTTTTTTTTTTTACTTCGTTGTTTTTAGCAATGATTTCCATCCAAGTATGGTATTCTCGTTGGATCATAATATTTGGATGCATCAACATCTCATGCGCGCCGATCAATGGTTGTTGTTCGAAAATACTTCGACAGTAGCAGGTGAACCGTAACTTCATCGGTTTCCTTTGATTCTGCTGATCTTGAACCCTTTCGGAATCCTGGATCCACCTCCTCTGCGATTCTAATCCCTAGCATGGCAACGCTGGGGGGTCTGCTTCACCTCTGCATCTCCGACTCCCGCCGTGGGAACGCACTGAATGTATCATTGTAATGTTTCAATTGTATCAGTGTTGTTGTTTTCTCATGTTATCTTATATGTAAATGTAATATGCTATTATAAGTGGGAAAATAACACCAGTAATACAACTGAAACAGTACAATACATTCAATGCGTTACCGCGCTGGGAATTTGGAGATGCAGAGGAGTGGGTCCATGGTCCAGAAAAGGTTAACCGTGACATTAAGATTGTTTACTGTGCGAATGAATCTTGCTTTTCTCTGTTTAACCTGCGCGAGCTTGCTACTACTTGCTGTCGTTATGCTAGTGGTGATTGTAGTTCTTGCTCTTCTTGTCGTTCGATGGCTAACATTTCAGCGACTTTGCCTTCTTTGGAGCAGTTTTGTAAAGTGTAACACTGCCCTTGTTGTCCAGTTGAGATGACACCTTAGATAAAGTTAGTATTAACCTCGCTTTGTCTAAACAAGGAAGTTATCTCAAGGTTAACATATAAAGAACGAAAGATAAAGCTCTTGGCGCTGATCAATCCCTGAGTAAATCATGCATTCGCTTTCACCCTGCCATCGTTTGAGATGACTGATTGCATATCTGGCCTTTACAATGACTCGCGGTGGCCTTCCGATGTATCAAGTATTGATTCTATCCTCCCAGACATGGCTATTACCAATTCTTCGACCCCGAAACGGAAAGGTGGAGGGCTTGTTGAGCCTTGAGCGCGGGTTCGAACAATCGACCATCGGCCACAGATTGGTCGACCATGTGTACATTGCTAGTACCTCTAACCACTGCGCCACATGCTCTCAAGATTTGCATGTATTAATCTCAGATTTAGGTCTAAAGAAAAACTCTTCTTTTGTACCTTGCGTTCCTTTACAATCGCTAGAATACCTTGTGCTTGTAGGCAATATGTGGTCACACATCCGTCTCTATGCATCTAATCATATAATCTCTCTAGTTATTTGTAAAGAGTATGTCGAACAATGGTGTCTTTGAAATCATTTTTCCTTTTTTTTATGTTGCTCTTACACTGAATGAACATTTTCCTTTCTAGGTAGAGGAAGAGCTTTTACTACGGGGAGGCTCTGGAACGAGGACGGTGTTCTTGTCCTTAGTTGCACCCAAGAGATCGTCTTGCGAAGCACAGGAGTTGTTTCTAAGATTTAATCCACGCTTAATATGTAATTATATCGATATTGGTAGAGTTGTATTAGAGGTCTATGTGACAAATATTTGTGCTGAAAGTCATCTCTCCGGTTGATCTTGCTTACATTCGTGTATGTGATGTATTCTGTCCATGTAAATGTTCAAATGCGATTGAAAGGGTTTATTTACTTGAGTTTCTTCATAACATTGTAAAGTTAGTGGGTTAATTAGTTATAAAAAGAAAAACGTAACAGCGAATTCATTTTGGGCGATATTTAACACGGAAGTCCGCTGAAAGACCTTGTTGTCATGGAATTTGAAGATCATAGCTATCTCACTTCACATTTTCGTTGCACAACAAAATGCGGTACTTTTCCGTAAGACGGCACGTGATGAAAGCCTGGCTCTTCTGCTGGACAAAGACTTTCTTTAAAGGAGTTAGTAATCACTTTTGAAAACGTTTTTATTCCTGCATCACCTGTCGTCCCGTTGATCGTCGAGTGACTTGGGCGAGAACCACCAACGTTTCCATTTTTCCCTATCGCGTGCAAATGTGCCCCAGTGGGTTGTCCTCGCTCTAGGAATTCGCTGAACATCATATCTTTCTTCTAGTCTTTTCGTGAAGAAATCGGACCATCGGGTCGATGGTCTTCCTGTAGAGCGCTTGATCTCGCTTTATTATATTGCTCAAATGGAAGGAAAACGTTTATCTTTCGCTTACGCGGTTTTCTCGAAAGAGCTCTTTCTCTAGATCACAGCAATCATTTGATAGCGTAAAGTTCAAAGATTCGAACGCTTTGCTTATTTTCTGGAAAGAACGTTTCTGTGCAGTGTAGCAGTAAAAATAAGATTGATTCACATACGCGAGCAAAAGATCTTTGGCCAATTCACGAGCTGCGGAATGGGAGGAAGGGAGCAGCGTGGGTCGGCGCTATTATCGATCAATTTTCGCATCGACCAATCTTAAGAAAGTGCAGTATTTGTATACAATTAGGAATTGTTCTTCGCTTTGAAAGAAACTCCAAATTAGACATCTGGCTTTGATATTAAAAGATTTTCGCTACACATCCATGTGCTTTTCGTGTTCTCGCGAAGTAACAGTTAAAATGTGCGGCCCATGTCAAATCTAATTTTATTTCGAATTTCTCAAGTCATGGAAGGGTTTTTTCAAAAAATCGTCCATGTGCGGCAGTAGCTAGAGATTTAGGCTTTCAAACGATTACTAATACTCTCCTGAAAAGTTCCTATCCAGCGAAAGTCGTTTCTTCATCCCGTGCCGTCTAGCGGGAAGCCCAAAACTCTATTATCGTAGAGTCAGACAAGAGAGCATGGCAAATTATGTTGTATCGATCAGATAACATGAAAGATCCAAACGTTCTACCTGTTTTCCGTTTATAGTCCAACGGACATTCGGATCTCCTCATAAGTCTTGCACGTTTTTCTCGTTTGATTCTTTCTGTGGCCATAGGGTCCATAGCTGTAAAGCTGATATCATCTAAAAGCACCTACTCATTCCACAAGTTGTTGCTACCATAGGTGTTAATACAAAGTTGTTTGACTTGAGCCACAAATAGTTCTGACTATCATGTAGATCGACACCTCAAGAGATGCTTGCACCTTTTTGTGATTAACACTTCTAATTTTCTCCTCCATTTGTCATCGTCCCTCTTCACCACATGACTTTTCGTTTTGAACCTCTCTTTCGATAGTCATCTACTGAATTCCAGAAAAAAAACGGGATCATTTTGCAGAATTGTGGACTGCGTGTGATGGCTTGGTGTTGTGTTTCATCCTTCAAAACTTGAATGACATCTCTTGAACAAGCCTTCAATTTAGTCCAAGCATATTGTTGGTCTCGAATACTTGTCAGCTCGTTATTTTTTTCAGCTGAGAGCAGAAGAGCAGCGCGTTGCAACGTCAAATCTTTCACTTTCATGTTCTGTATCTGATTTTGACTCGTTCAATGTGCCTAGCGTTCATTTCAACCTCTTGAGACCAAGCCTTCTTCGCTGGAGAGCGCTTTTCACCCGAACTTCTAGTATTAGTTGAAAGTTCAGATCTCGGCAATTTCATACTATGTTTGGTTTGCCTTTAGATTCTGAAAACGCTTTCTTAGTGTCATGTAGTGGCAAAAATATGATTATCTTTCACATTCAGTTCGATTTATTCGCACGGCTATGGTAAATGGGTAAATCTTCATCAAGCATTCAGAAGCCATTTGAAAGCAAAAGTCCTTTTGGTTCTGGAACTAAATTTGGATTTTTCAAAGGCCTTCGAAGGGCTTGTAAGAACAAAAAGAACATTATGTTTCACCCTCAGAGTTTCTCTTGCACTCACGAGTTATATATGCAACAAAAAACATACAAGGGTGAAGAAAAATCGCGACGGATTAGGATACAAGGACAATTCTATTTTTCCATACGGACAAAATTCTACAATTAAATAACAGAAATTGCGCTGGGCGTGACGATCTCAATCATATGCAGAAAGACGTGATTTTCGTTTATTAAGAAGTGTGATAACTTATTTCAATCCCTAAATGGTCTGCTATGGCACTTATAAAGTACTAGACACTTGTGTCGGCCGTTTATCCTCGCCAGTAGCACGGTACCATTCGTTTAAGCCAATCTCTTGTAGGGGGTGGTGGGGAGTATACCCCTACATATAAGGGAATCGACGATGAACAACTTACACTGTACGATTGTCAAGTGAAAAATCACTTGACTTTGCAGTGATTAACAATCAGTTACCAATGATTGATAACTGTAATAATACCTTGATATTGGACTGTTTTTTAACTTTCAAGATTAGCGAGGTTTTAAAAAACAGTTGAATATAAAGATATTAAGAAGTCTTTTCTCCGTTTCGAAAAAATTTTCAAGTTTTACGCATCAGTAGAAGGCGCTTTGATCCATTGTTCTATAGATATAAGGCAAGATGGAACTATCCCAAGAGCAAGAACAATCGTTAATACTACACGAGTATCGTCGCGTGCCAAAGCAGCACTTGAACATGAACAGTACTCGTGTAACATCAGCAATCAGTCTTGTTGTCGGGACAATTCCATCTCAGGACAAATGTGTATGTGTTATAGATCAAAATAACCGCAAGAAGCTGCCCTAAACGATAGTAAGAGCAAAATCTTGAATACATGAAAAATAATCAACAAAAGGAGAATGATCTCCTCCCAGTGTGCTCATCTGGGTCTATAATGCGAAATCGCATACCCGACCAAACCTTTTAAAGGTTGGTGGCTGATAGCTAGCCTAGAGATGCTCAAGAATGAGTGGTAGCGCAAATGTGCTTCGGTGGTGTAGCGGTAGTAGCACGCGTCCCCCACATGGATTAAACGCGGGTTCGATTCCCGCCTGAGTTCGTATTTTTGCTCGCCACTCAATTCTTTTAGGAATATATGAATGGTCATGACACTGCGAAAAATTCTGTAAAAATAGTGGAAATTTCGAATGCAACCTGCTATTCGCAGGCTCTGAAGAAGGTGAGACTGGCGAAACGTCAGCTGTTTGAATAAAGATTATTATAACACCTCGTCTTTGGCTAAAGAAAGTAAGAAAATACTGAGGCATGCTGAGGTTGATAGATAGTCGGTCTTGGGAAAACGGAGTTTGGAAAAGGTTTTGCCAACCCAACAGAACCATCGATATTTGCGCTATCAGAAGGTTTTTGAAAGTTTGGTAAGAATCCGAATCTAGACCTAAGTCGGGTATGAAACGCGCGCCGAGTGTAAAAAGTAATTCTATTTTTGTGGTTGCTACAGCATAGTAGAAAGGTTTTTTCATAAATCAACCGCAGTGCTAAAATCGCTGTTTCTAAAGCTATCGCGTGACTACTAAAACTATAGTAAATCAGCTCTGTACTGTAAAAAAAAAAGTCAAGCAAACACGAGTCCAATACGGACATAGACTTCTAAGGCAAAACGTAAATTTCTCTTTGTTACTAGATACACCAAAAAGCCTGCTCGGAAACCTAACCAAGTGTTGAAATCAGTTACCAAGTGACTACTGAAATGCGTTGAAAATCTTGTTCTTGACGGAAAAACTATGAAAAGACTACTGTAAAATAACGTGTTTGCTTGGCCCCTAAAAGGTTGATCAATAATTTTCATGGTTCCTTTTGAATGACGTATTCTTTTGGTTCAGTTCTATGTTCATATTTCCTCCTTCCTTGTTGGGTTCCAAACACATGGTAGCGATGACAACTATTGTTTAAAAGAACGCACAAACTGGTTCATTTGACTGAAAACTGACTGTGTCGTTAAATGGTCGTCACTGGAACGTTTTTCTTTTATTCCACTAGTATCAATTATGAAGTAATATTGAGGAAGCATCTAATCGTTTATTAATAATACAGGTATATATAAAGGTGTTGCTAAATTACTCAGTTAGCATTGGTAGGTTCTTGAAAGATTTTACGTTCTTTAGACCCTGAAACAGGTTCGACTAGTGCCTCCTCAACCCCACTGAAAAGCTCAATTAAATCTACTCAGAAGATAGACAATTCTTCAAGTACTCGTCACTAAGTTTACTATTTTAGTAAACCGAACTGCAAAACCAGAGTTTCCTTGCGATGAAAAAAGGATGTTTTCAAGGTAGCGAAGGTGATCTTGAATTGGAGCTGAGGCAGCAAAGTCTGCTCTCCATCTATGAGTTTTAGAAATGTCTTTTGAAAATGTTTGAGGAAGGGATTCAGTATTTATGACTATCATCTTCTGAGGTAGTAGTAGTATAGTGTTGAGAGCAATGAACAAATGTTGACGTGTGTTTGCACTTATTCCATTGGGTGCATGAAGATAACCAGTTCCATCGATTACTGTGCGATAAATGATAACATATCTGTGCCGCTTGCCCGTGACTTGCCCGTACATTCTTGAGAATGCGAAGTAATATTTATAACTGTCATACATAGGGTATGATGTGATGATCTTTTTTTCCCACATCAGCGATCTAACATATGAAGGGCGGAGCTGTTATTCCGATCGAACGCAGTCGTGGTTAAATCTTGATAAGGCCGTCAGATCTCGTAGTTTTATTTTTTATATTCTTTATAACCTTTGAAGACGGTGTGAACCCCGGTCGGGACATTATTATTATGAGTCCTTTTTCGCTGGACAGAGTTTTCCACTATATTGTTATTCGATGAATCAAGGAACGACGATTTCAATGCTGTACTTGGTTCCTGATAAGGACTTCTTAGTACAGTAAGTAACAGCAGAAATAATTTCACGTTCCACACTCAGCACGTACTTCCTGCTCTGCTAGAATTGACGGCTTTTTACTAGTGTCTCAATAGCCATTTGATAGCTTGGCTTCAGATAGTCTAAAACTAAATTTTCTTGTTGAAAACGTCTTTGTGAGACTCTCCGTTTCTCTGATCAAAACTTGCTACAAGATTGGTTTTTCTCGTTCCTCAACATTTGATGGCTAACGTTTCGGCGACCCTGCCTTCGTCAGCACCTTTATAATGGGAGAGGTCACCTGCGTTATTTGGCACACTTTGAAAAAATCTGACACCTTATTTTTGAAATGTGTCTCATAAGACTGGTGACCTCTCCCATGTAAGTATAAATAAGGCGCTGACGAAGCCGGGGTCGTTGAAACGTTAGCCATCAAATGTTGAGAAACGAGAAGTACCAACCTCGTGCAATTTTCAATCAAAGAAAAGGCTAACTCTTAAGAAATCTCACATTTCTCCACTCATGCCAAGATTAAGAGGAGTCGGATTTTTGAGCTAGTCTTCGTAAAACGTTGCAAGCCAAAAAGAAGAGAGCGTTTTGCACACGGAGTAATTAACTCTTAAGAGACGACGTATACCACCTTGAGTACACGATTGTTGAAGGCCTTTCTCGCTGCATAAAGTTTTCTCCTAGAAAAGTGATGATCATTGCGAAAGCTTAAATCCTAGCGACTTCAGCGATCTATTCAGTTTAAAAAAAACATTTCATTACGTCGCACTCAATTTCTTCATTTGCTCGACTGGAGTTTTGGTATGACTCTTAACTGAAGTTTTATTGGTCATTAGATAGCTCAAATCTCGAGGATTTCGGTGATATAGTTGATTTTTTGAAGGGTTATCACAGAGTATTGTAAAGGCAAAAAGAAGGTCACATTTTACGCCTATAATGTTACTCCGTCGTTTGAACGTCATAGGTAGTTCAATGGTAATCATAGGTGAAGTTTATATGTCAGAAATATTTTGTCGTTACGTAAAGAGTGGTTTATCACAAATGAGCTTTTTACAAAGGTTTTGATATAAAGAGTGATTCCTTCGCTTGATATCCTCCATTTTTCAACGGTAATAGCAGCCCTTGTGAAAAAAATAAAATTCCAATCTCTATTGTGCATTTCTATCGCCTGCCTTGCAAGAACATAGCTTGAGAGCACATCTTTTACAACTAAATATTTCTGTTAGAGGTTTATGTAATTTCAATATGTAACTCGAGTAAGTGTAGGAAGAGTGCGAATTAAACATTGCATATGATACGCTACTTCCCTCATTAGCAAGCATGTTCAAAAAAACGTATTTCTGGTTGATTCTAGACATTGTAGTTATTCGAAGCTTGAAACTCAAAAATTTGAAACTGTATTTTATTTCCTGGAAGATCTATATAGTACACTGTAACAGTGAAAAGAAAATGTTATTCAACACTTAAGCACCTTTCAATGAACAAAGCTTTCCCTCAAAAATACGGCAACTCCTCAATAACACAAATTTCGTTGGATTCATTGGTATTTTTGGCTTTCCAAGAAGTCTCTTTATTGTGCTGCAAACTGAAATTAAGATTGCATTTCACATGCGGCGCGCATGCTTTTCACTGGCATGTGGATATATATAGCAACATTGTCATCAAACCGATGCTGTTCAATGGCCTCGATAGCTCAAATCTCGAGGATTTCAATGGTGTGCTTCCCTTTTGAAAAAATATTCTTTACCAGTTGCAGCAACAAAAATAAGACTGTGTTACACATCTGAGTATTCTTCGCCAGACACGGCTTTTCTCTCACGCTTTTATACCCAATCGATAGTGCTTTCTCAAAAAGATTTCTTATTGCGTCGTTACTGCTAAAAGAATATTGCGTTTTACGCTCGTCTCGCACCGCACGCCACATATGAATTTCGCTGCGTGATCGACAAGGCGCTGAGTGTGAAACTCATTAATCGTTTAGGTGTAACAACGCCTTACGACGTCCTTTTCAAAAACCAAGCTCACCTTTGCGATCGCGGGGAATTGTGCTATCAAACGGTTATTGTAAGTCTGAATGAAGACCTCTGCCCAGCGAAAGATGACTGACTGTGAAAGGAAATGTGGTCCTTATATGTTAGACAGCGACATATCTCTAAACCGATCTGATTCGCTGCACAAAGATTAAACATAGTGTTGATAATCATTGGAAAACATGAATCTCTAGCTACGACTCCACGTCATCGGTTTTTCAAAACCCCTTTTTATAATGCTGTAGCATGCAGAATAAAATTTTGTTCCTCACTCGCTATCGTCTTCATTTTTACCACGAATATAAATTACTGGAAGCACGAAAAGCATGTCAGCGTGTAGGAAATTTTCCGTAGTATTAGAGTCCGCGTTTCTATCTGAAGTTTCTGTTGATTCGATGAAAAAATCCTCGATAAAATAACAATGCTGCCTCCGTTTTAACGCATAATGCGGTAGATCACTATCGAGTTACGCGGTAAATCAGGCGATTACCTTACTAGCATGTCGTTGCTGTGGCTTCCTTCACATTTTACTCAGCTTCGAAGACTTTGCTTACCGTCCAATCACCGAGCTGGGGAGGAGCGACCACGTTTCAGATAGTGTTATTCAACTGGGGATTTCTTCACCACATCGATAGAAACTTCAGGTAGAAACGTAAACTCTGATGCTATCGAAAACTGTCTTCACGCTAACATGCTTTTTGTGCTTCCAGCGTTTTATACTCGTGGTGGAAATGGAGACGAAAAGCGAGTGAAGAACAAAATTTTATTCTGATGCTACAGCGTTATAAAAGGGTGGTATAAAAATCGGCCATAAGGACTCGTAGCCAGAGATTTGGGCTCTCGAATGATTACACACTTTTGTTAAAATTTCCTGTCCAGCGAATGAGAGCGACTTAGAAACTGGTCGCCGTCTAATATATAAGTACCGAAATTTTCACTTCACCTTCAAAGTGTGATGTAAAAACCATTTGAAAAAATAAGACACACCCTTCAGATTATCGATATTCAAGCTGTCGAATAATTACTAAAGCCTCGAAAAGGAGTAAAAATACTTTATCTGAATATGGGTGCAGATGGGAAAGAAGCACCGAGAATACTCCTCTGGAGACACATATTTCTGATCGATAGTTTACATAATGCCGATGTTCT